GGTCGCAGAGCCCTCCAGCTATGTGTGTTCTGCTTGTTTATGTGCGTTCAGCCTTTTTAGGAGCCGTTAAACAATCTGCTGATGAGGAAGATGGGGTGGGGTGGGAGAGATGAAGACAGATGTCAATGGCTGCGCAGGTGAGTTGGTGCCAAAGACAAAGGATGTCACAACACAAAATGAGGTTTCCAGGTTAGGACAGGTGATTGGATTAAAGCAATAAACGAGAAGTGACTGATCCTGATATGCTGTTAAATTATTATCGGTTTTTATTCTATCCCATCTCACTGTAGGACATCAAACAGACGCTAATATTTTTTTCAGGCAGGCCTCCGGTGCTGTTAAAAAAGCCTCAGTGCCTTAAACATATCAGTGCTGAGTCCACATTAAAAATAGTATTTTTATTGTTATCACAAGATAGTTTTCTATTCTTTTTTTCCTTTAACTGTGAAGGCATGTGGATTTCTATGAGCTGTGTTTCTGTTTGCACTGTGTGTATTATGTGTTTCACTAAGTGAGAAACTCATAAAAAATTTCAGTTGACAAATTAGATCCGAGATTCCAGGATCGTCTGTTGGTGTGTTGGTGTCGTATGACAGTATGGTCCAGCCTTGCAATAACTGCATGGATTCGTCCAACTTTATTGCTTAGAATTCTTTGTTGACAGTTATATTACATTTGTCTTTATTGCAATTTGATAATGTCAATTAAAGCTGCAAGCAGCGATTAAAGGGCCCTTGCACCTTGGTGCATGCAAGGTGTGTTGCAGTCGAGGCATTTCCTGCATCTATGTGGATGTTTTACACCCTGGATTCTGACTGACAGCAGCACAAACTAGTTCCTTATCAATTCCTGTGCGCACTATCTGGCATTCAGGAACCACTAATCATATGTGTGTCATTGATGGAACGCACAATAAAAAATTCAAATACATGAAATTGTGTTTATTGCCTAATGTTGTTTTTCTTTTGCCTCCCAGTGGTGATACAACTGTGGCACCTAGATGTCTCCAATCTGAGGCTTCTATCAAAAATGTTCAGTCTGTCCTAAACTTGACAATCTACCTTTGAGTTATGAGATTATTTGTGCTGTGACAAATGATAGAAATACAACTTGCTGGCAAGAACATGCTTCAACAAAACCACAGCTCATATTCATCTGTGGGTGGAGTTTGTGTCCTGGGTTTGTAAGTTTGTGCCTGAAAACACAGCAAAACTGTCCTGGGTGTGGATTCAAACCCAGGACTTTCACAGCCTTTCTGTGGGGAGTTTGCA